TGTAGAGACACGAGCAGTCATTGTGGCATTACACGAAGAAGGTTATTCATCGCGAAAAATTGCTTCTAAATGTGATGCAAACTGCAGCCATGGGAGCGTTACAAAGAAAGCGAGGTGAACCTAAACTTTTGACCGGTAGTGTATATGTTGTAGTATGGTAATATGGTAAGGGAAAAAAATAATAATGTGCTGAACTCACCAGTGAAGGCAAGAGAGAAAAGATGTGGTAGGTTGTTTGGGACGAGTCCCCGAACTAATAGTATATAATCCAAAATTCCAAAGATGGTCCTTGTCCTGGCCGCTAGGGTACGCACTAACACTAGTTATACACACAAGTTGTTATCCACAAGGGCACTGAGTTCAATAAGGGGTAAAACTTGTCATGATTCTCAATTGGTTTTTACTACTCGGCCCTACGGCGAGGAAGACAAGATAGCCCCTAAGGTATCTTGGCTAACACAACGCATTTCCACTAAGTTCGCCTTTGACTCAAAGTTTTATGAAAGGTAAAATGTGACTGGTTTTGATGTGACTCCTAAGAAGACTGACTAATTCGCTGCTCGATTCCAGCTCGAGGAGCGTCAGGGCCCAGAGAAGGGATGGAAAACTGCTGATTCGGTGCATTCTGGAATCGTGGGACCAGCGCGGATTGTTCTTGGTTCCCGCGGTCTTGCCACGTTATCGGCACGTACTTTGGAGCTCATATTTCTAAAGTTCTCTGATTCGTGCAAACCTATGCTACTCTCTCTCTTACACTCACTGGTGGGTTCCCATGGGAACATTCCGTACAGGGACCGTTCTCATGGACTTACAATCCTATGGTTATTACTATCTTATTTCTAACTTATACTAAGGAGGAGCTAGATGCGCGTAAGACCTGATCATGATTGAACCATGTCGCTCGCAAAAGAATAGGGCAGGGGCGTTTGGTGGAATTTTAGGGGTGTAGTTGCGTCGGACGTAGCATCTCCCTCCTTGGATGGAACATCGCCAGTAGGTGATGCTTCCCTGCTTCCCTCGTTCCGTGATCGTTGTTTTACTTTGCCGTGGTACTCGAGTTGTATAGGGACATACACGGTGGGTTGATGGTGATATTATAACATTGGCCTATCATTGGTCCTACTGTTCCCTTGCTCCCCTCGTCTTCGAGAGATTACACGCGTAATCTCCGTTCTCGACGCTTAATCGCAGGCACCACCGCGAATGTTGAGCATGCGTTCTCGGAATTCAATTGCTGACGTTGCATTATGACCCCGGTCCGTGCGGCGCCCTGATCGTGATCGTCAGTCATGCCTATGATTTCCCTGAGAGAGTTGGTAAGTATTAAGATTTACAACACTCCTTTCCTATTGTGTTTTACCGCGTGTGTTTCAATTCCGACTCTTTTCAGGCCCGCCGCGAAACTTCGCGGGATTTCATGCAGAAAAGGCGAACCCGGGTCGTTGGTCGATCCCCGATTGGGTCGAGGAGTTCCCGAGTAATCCCGAGGGCGCCGATGCATTCGGGCTCTGGGGGTTTTTCGAGGCCCCCTGGCACGCGGGCGAGGACCGGGAGCAGTTGCTCTTCCTGTCAGTTGTCGGTGGGTGGTGAGTGTTATCCTCTCGCGTTCGTCTATTTGTTCCACAGACGGATTCTTAATGTATTCCTGTCTGATTGCAGGAACTGGTGGGTGAAGGAGGCAGGAACTTCCCGGTGGGAGTATAGGGGGTTCCTGGCCGATCGCTGGGGAAAGCTGCCCCACCCCTTCCTCCCACTCTAACTAAATAATTATTAGAAACATTATTCATTAACAGGTAGGTATTACCTGTTTCACATATTTCATTTCTTTCTATATTTCAATTACCTTCATTTTCGTATGCAGCTGTGCTATCCCACGCACAAGATAATTCGGCGTCTGCATGTGGTGCTGTCTCACTAACTAATTTTAAAACTGGATCAGATGTATCAGGCACACAGGGAGCCCCTCCTGTGAGCAATCTTTGTTTCTTCAGCTCCGTTGTTTCACGTCTTTTACTTAAAAAAGTTATCTTTCTTATAATATCATGTCATAATTGCTTTGAACACAATAAAATATTGAAATATCACAGCCGTCAGACAATAAAAAAGTTCTATCCATTGCTTTAAATTTGCCCATAATTTTCTCAGTTGTTTCTCTGTGCGTATACTAAGTCCCCGACTATTAAAAGCTTTTGTAATTTGTATCGATGCGTCAGATTTGTCTTTGACATTTACTGAACCAGTTTCTTTATTTTCAATTATTTCACGATAATCGTTCACAAGCTGAACTAATAAAACCTTCTCCAACTCTGTATAATGCTGCTTGGTCCTCGTATCACTCAACTCATTTTTTATTTCCATGTTCCACATGCAAGAAGTTTTCAACCGGAATACATATGTTTATCATTTGTTTATCATTTGTTTATCATTTTATTCAATTTTATTAAACTCATCCATTGACTATATACGTATATATGATTGTAGATACTCCGTATAGTCAGTTACGTGGGCGATCACATAAATCTAAAGAAAGTCCCTAGAAAACTTTCCCTCAACTGAGGGCACCTTAAAAACTGCCTATGAAATGCAATTGGAACTAAGGGTTCCTTTAAAGTTGAGAGCCCTTCATGAAGGGCAAACTCAACCTCAAGTTGAGGGACGACTATGAATACGGGCATAAGACATCGTTTAGATTCTGTTACATGTGGTGCTATCAACGATTCCTCGAAGCAACCATCCAAATATTCAAATTCATAATCTATGCCCTCTTCTTTGTCCTCCTGATTGTTATCTGCAAACAAATAATCATTACAAGAATCATTCATGAACAGGTAGGTATTATTCGCATCTTTCATATATTTTTATTTTGTAATTACCTTTATTTTCATATGCAGCCTTGCTATCCCAGGTGCAGGGTAATTTCACATCTGCACGTGGTGCTGCTTCATTTACTAGTTTTAAGATGGCATCACATAAATCAGGTACAGGAAGACCGCCTTCTGTGAGTATACTTTCTCTTCTGAACTCGATCGTTTTTCGTCTTTTCCTGAAAAAATGGTGTTTTCTTATGATATGATAAAAAATTATAGAGTAGAGTTAATAGTTTTGAACACATCAAAAACATTCAGAAAAAATAGTCATGCAAGGCAAAAAACGTATCTGTATAATTACTTTTGTTTTAAATTTTCCCATAGTTTCCTTAGTTGTTTTTCCGTGCGTATGCTGAGCCCTTGACTATTAAAATAATGCGCTATCCGAACCCACGCATCGTTTTTTTCTTTCATATTTAAAGCACCAGTTTTTTATTTTCTACGATATTTCTATGTTCGTTCACCAACTGCACCAATAACATTTTTTCCGCCTCTATATAGTGTTGTTTGCTACAAGTTCAGTTCTTTGCTGCCATGATAAAACTTAAAAAAACTCGCCAATAATTAACATATGCACAAAATTTTCATCCAGACTATTGCAAACTATTGTATATACATATCATATGACATATAACGGACATAGAAAAGTGTGATATCGAGTATAGACAAAATGAAAGCAGAGAAATGTTGTGATAACTTTTGACATTAAAGACTCTGATAAAGCAGCGGTACATGTCGAGAAACTGTAATATAGGTCATTTCTACGCGAGATACGTACATTAACATAGTATACAGTAACCGCTTAAAATAGAGGCTTAATTTTTGTGTGTGCAAGATTAAACTATTAACAAAATTTTCAGTGCAGCTTATTGGATACATTCACTTTTTGACGTTTATCGAGTTTACATAGTTCAGTGACTGATAGTTCAATAATACATGTTTTCGTAAAGACTAATCTCCAATCAATTTTTCTTATAATTATCATTAGATTTATTTCTATTGAAAAAATAACAACGTTAAGAATGGCTTATTTGATTATGAAGGCTTCAGGTGCAATAAAATTATTGAGTTCAGACTTATTGATATTATCTTTTATAAATAAAACAGTAAAAGTGATTAATAATATTAGACATCAGTCAGTTTGACTGTTAAAAATATTCGCTATTTGATATTTTCAAGTTACTCAATATTATTTTTGATTTCTGAAAATTGGACTGATATATGCACGTGAATTAATTATATAATTTTATTATGTTTCAGAATTGTTTGTTGTTGATAACTTTATGGTGTTACGATTAGAGGATGAAGAGGAAATGAAAATCGATCTAGAGTGGCTGCGTGATCATTGCAGGTAAATAATATTAATTGCATTAATAATAATCTCTAAATAAGCGTGCGAATTTTGTATCACTATCTTGTGCTTTTGATAAACGTAGATTTATTCCTTGATAAAACCTTAGAAAGTGAAAAGTAAAGGTGCAGTCATGTATTTTCAACGAAGTGCAGGCAACTGGCGGTAAAGTTTAATTTAATTTAATTTAATAATTATTATGATTCAAATGCTTAATACTCTAATACTCTTTTTATAAATTGAATAATTACAAAATTAAGTGGACATCGATTATGCAAGTTATACTCAAATGTATTAAATGTATTGTCTAATGTAAAATTTTATTTAAGGTGCAGTTTATGCTTCAACACAATGACACATCAACGGAAACTGACTCTTCTGGATTTTCCCTCAACTATACGACCGGATAGTTTCAAAGTTTCTAATGGAAAACTCGATGTTACATGTAAGTAGCAATATTTCTTTTGGACTACTGTTAATTTGATGCTAAATAGAACTGACCAATACAAGTTTTTAGTATCTAAGTTGTCTCGATCTGACTTCTTAGTTGTGAATTTTCAATGTATTTATGATCTCTCTGGTCTCTGACCTGATAAATATCTTAAAAGTCCATATCAATCTCAGTGTAGAGACCGGGCAAAGATGATTGAAACTAAATTGTAGACTTTATGGTCTTTTTCAAGTCTAATATTTCTATAGTGGCTTTAAAAAATTTTCATATAAACCACTGTGAGATTGAACATGTTTACTATTAATATTAGCTGCTCTTTATTCTTAACCTTGTCTGAATGCTTTACCAAAAAAACATTATACATATGTATATGGCATTAAATCAATGTCTTGATTTTAATTTTACTTACGACTTTTAAATCGTTAGGGAATGACGGTCATGACTCAACCTATAATATTAACTGGCTCAAAAGAAATATCAGATATGAAGGTGATGATACAATTGATACACGAATCCCATGGACCAATCCACCCAATATGGAAGTAATTGACTACGAAAGCTTTATGAATGGTGAAAATGGTGTAATTGCCATCTTGAAGTCTATATTACAGTTCGGAATTGCAATGATTGTTGGAGTATGTTTCTTTTTCATATAATTTATCAAGTCATTTATATTTTATGCTTATTGCATGTTTCCTCCTTGAAAATGTATACATTAAAAACTAATTTCTATTACAGGCGAAACCTAATCTGCAAGTGACTGAAGAAATTAGCAAGAAGATAGGACCTGTCCAAAAAACATTATTTGGAGAAATGTGGGAACTTAATCACGACCTTACTGCCGTATCTCATAAAGATAGTGCTTATACTCATGACAGCCTTGATGTCCACACTGATAATACTTATTGGAGTGATGCAGCCGGGTATGATAACAATTATTACAACTCGGTAGCATTTTCAGTTTTATTTATGAAGATGAAAATAAATAGAAATCAATGTCTATTGTTATAATGTATTCTATTAAATAATTTAGCAGAAAACAAGAATTTTCAGAATTCGGATTTGAAAAAAAAGTAAAGAAAAAGAATTAATTTCGAAGAAAGGTTTTTTTTATTAAAAACCGTTCATCAAACGATTTTCGGTCAAACGTCCAAACTAATAAAAACTATAATATTATTTGACAGTTAAATCAATTTTTTATGAACGATGTACATAAATTTACAATGAACAGAAATGTACAGATGTACAGAAATTGCAATGCTAGGCTGAGAACTTTATATTATAATATTTAAAAAAAATTATTAAGTTTGCAGATATTCCACTGTTACAAACCAGCTGATAGTGGTGGAGAAACACTTTTAATAGATGGTTTAAAAATTGTTGAGGATTTGAAAGTAAAACATCGAGCCTGTTACGAAAGGCTATGTAAAACTCCTGTTTCAGCAACATATATCGAGGATGGACAATGTCACGAACACGTCGATCCAATAATTAAACTTCATCCTGTTACAAAAAAACTTTTGCAAATACGGTAAGGTTTTTAAGATGACATTGTGTCAATACGATCTTAATAGTACTTTGCGATACGAGTACGAGAAAGCGAACTTTATAGGCAGACGGTGAGTGTAACAAACTTCACGACCTGCGTATAATGTTCGCTTTATTGTACCAGTATCGCATAATATTTTCTGTAACGCATGCATTAAAAGTGTTACTTTTTGTGCCTCCAAAGTGACAGGCACATCTCCTCATTAGAGGAGGCAGCCACAATGAAAGCAAGGAAGGCCTCCAAAGTGAATGCATGTCATGACAGCGCTCGAAAATAAAGTAAAATTGGGCCGGTATGCGCATGCGCAGCATTTTTATCGCATCTTTAGTTATAAAGCGCCACTTACGCCACACTTTGGAGGCACGAAAAGTAACATTTTTCATGCAAGAGTTACATTAAATAAATATAGGTTTTTCACAAAGCCATATTCAATACTATGCACATGCATTCGCAAACGTTTCTTCTGTTTTCATAGCTACGATCATTTCAATTTTTTAATTTTTGTACTGTACGTGTTCAACTAAATCTTTTACCAGTTTTCTCTTAATTCTTTTGTCTACTCTTTTACACTTGCATATGCGCTCTAGAATTTCTTCTTTTTTTTTCCTTTCCACTTACTTTGGAAACTTTCTTTCCTAACTCCTACTATCTGCCCTCCCGTTGCCCTACCTTTCTTACATTTTCTCACTACCAATTTCATTACACCCACTTGCAGCCTTTATAAAATGATGTGAGTTACCTATTTGTGATGCACATTCTACTTCAACCACGACATGTCAAGAGTGTGCAAAATAATTAAATATACCTGTTTGTTTATATGCCACTATATTATTATAAATAAAAGAAAAAGTAACTAAAATAAAAAAAACTGAATAATATTTTTTTACCTACTATCTTTACTATTGTTTATAATAAAAATTGTTTAAATCAAGGAAAGTACAAACTATATTGTTGATGATTTATTTAAAAGTCAAGTTACATGAATACTTTAATAAATGATCTTTCTAGTGTGTATAAACCCGGCTTTCATACATAATGACCTAAGTGAGTACCCGGGTACCCGGTCATTGAACGGAGTATCGACTTTGATAGTTAATAACTTTTATTAAATGAATGAATTAAAAAAATTTTGACGAAAAACTGACGTCAAACTACTTCAACTCTGGGGATCCGAGCGTTCAAAAAATTGTTTTCAGGGGAAGTTAACAAATTCTACATTGCAAACTGAAATGGATACCCGGGTAGCTGGTTATTGACCTGACGGTTAATATAAAACGTAGAGTCAACTTACAAATCACAGCTCTTGTACAGCGTTTGGGGAAAATTCGTCTAAAAGAATTCGTCTTAAACAATTCGTCTAAAGCAATTCGCCTAAAACAATTCGTCTATTCACCATTCATTTAATCGCAATTCGTCTAATCATAATTCGTCTAATAACAATGGTCTAATAACAATTCGTCTAATAACAATTCGTTTAAACAATTTGCTTATAGCTTAGTTTAAAGCTCATACTGTGTTATATGGTTGGATTCGTTTGGATGCCGACTACAATGTTTAAAGAGAAGAAATATTCTAACCTAACCTAACCTTTTTTTGGTGGGGGGAGGGGAAATCTTACATGAGACACCCCAAGGTGGGCTAGTGTCAGATTCTTACTTATTAAAACCCCTCCCCCCATCTTCTGAGGCAAGGTGGAACCGCGCGAGCATTACTTCGCCCTGCCTCATGTCTTTAGCTCTTTACCTCCTCGTTAGTCTGGAGCTCCTTGTGGTGTTGCTATTCTCTGATCTTCGGGTTATCTCCTCCTCCGCTTTCTTCGCCATCACTGTTCTGGAGAAACTCCTAACGGCTTCCCATCGTTCGGTGGATTTCAGCATAGCCCTACCAATGTCCCGTCCATTTTCCAGTTTACCTGTTGTAGCTTCTAGTGTTTGTCTCTTGAGTGACCACCTCTCGCAGCTACGAATGGTGTGTCTGGCATCATTTTCTTGGTTGCCGCATTGGTGGCATTGCATATTGCGTTCCTTACCAATCCTGTGTAGGTATCTACCGAAGCAGCCATGGCCTGTCAGTTATTGGGTGAGAAATTAGTCTGTTTCACCGTGGGCTCGTTCACACCACTTTGAAACGTACTCTGTTACCTTATGAGTCTAATATCCTTTGTTATCGATCCTCCACTCTGATTGCCATGCGCTAAGTGTTCGCATTATCTCGGCTTTCCTGAGTTCCTTCGCTGTGTGCTGTTGTTGCCGGTCGGAGGTGTTCATATTTCTCCTAGCCTCATACAGTCTCTTCCTGTCCTCTATGTGGAGGTGGATCTGTGGTACACCTGTTAAGGGTAGTGCCACTCCGATTGATACTGTCCTATACGCAGACGTAATGCGTATTGCACATATTCGTTGTACTGCTATTATTGCTTGACGGTGTCTAGCGATGAGTATCCCCTCACCCCATACCGGTGCGGCATACAGAAGAGTGGAGTATGTTACTCCCGCCAGTAATCTTCTCTGACCCTGGGTAGGCCCGCCAACGTTGGGCATTAACTAGAGAGGGCTTTGATTTTGTCCATCGACTTTTCGGTGGTAGATATGATGTGCTCGCTAAAATTGAGCCTTTGATCTAATGCGACTGCTAAATCTGGTACTTCTTCGGCGTGTGCAATGATCCTAGGTGCCTCAATCGTGTATCTGCAGCTGTACAGAATCGTCTCACTCTTGTTCGTGGCCATCTTGAGCGCCGCCTGATTTAACCATTGTACTGCAGTTCTGACCGCTTCGTTCAAAGTGAGTTCCAGGAGCTCTGGAGTCCTCCCTTGGGCCACAATGGCGACATCATCTGCAAAACCTACGATGGATGCACCATCAGGCAGATTGATTCGTAGCAGTCCATCATACATAATATTGCAGAGTGTCAGTCTCAATATCGAGCCCTGTGGTACGCCGGTCGTGATATGGTAGGTTCTCTGTCCTTCTTGTGTATCGTAAATCAAGTGCCTCTCGTCGAAGTAGCTCTGGATCATATCAATGAGGTACCTGGGCATGTTCCAAATCCTATCCTGCAAAAGAAAATCAGACAGATGATGGCCAATGAAGGAATCTCTTATAAAGATGCAAGTATAAAATGCGGTGCTTATCCTTTCAAGACTAGAGATTCAAATTCTGTTCAAAGCCACGATCCTATTGAAGTTGTAGAAGGTCATGGACATATCTCCTCACCTCAGTACGAAGAACATCGCGATCCTCAGTTCATAGAGCCAAATTAAAACCCTGTCAGAACCTAGAATCACCCCGTCAGTGCCACTCTTTCAAAAATTAAAATTCTTAACCTTAAGGAATTTATTAATAAAGATGTCAATAAAAAGATTGGTTTCATAATAGTTCACATTGAAGACAGCCTGATTAAACTTCTGAACGAACACTCACTTTCTGAAAGCTCTATAACAGAGGTTTATTTAGAGGCCTTCCAGATATAAAGTTCTAAAACTTTCTAGTAATTTGTCTAAATTAGTCGTTACCGATTTCTGTACGCTTCCATGTGTTGGGTTCGGTGTTATAACTTATTTAAGTTGGTATAGCTTACATAGCACTGTTCCTATATATAGGTTTTATTTATATGTAGTTGTTTAGTTAAGTCGATAATATATATTAATTAATTTATTTATTTTGTGATTTATTCGTATTTACTCAGAGACATACCGGAATGTCCCCTATAAATAATCTAAGGATTATTCAATGGAATGCTCGTAATCTGAGGTCATCGATGTCAGAACTCTTGATTCTTGCTAAAGAGGCGCATGTTCTCTGCATTTCGGAAACCTGGTGGAGCCCTGCTCAAGAATTCAAGATCAAAAATTTTGAAATTGTTAGGAAAGGTAGAACTGTTGGTGGAAATCATGAAGGCGTGGCAATACTCATAAGGGAAACAATGCCTTACAGATTAATTGACTTACCTGATGTCTTCCTAGGGGGAATAGAAGTGACTGGCATCGAGCTCCTATCTGGTCCTATCTCTGTTCTTCTTAAAATTTTCTCGTTATATAGACCTCCTAATTGCTCTATATCTGCATCAGGTTGGCTAACCTTTCTTGATCAGCTATGGCAGGCGAACACCCTAGTCTGTGGTGACTTTAATGTTCAGAACCCGGCAAGCGGCAGTTCCGGATCCAACCAGGCGTGTATTAACCTATCAAATGCTCTCGATAACTCTGATTTTTTGGTCTCAAATAATGGTAGTGCCACTAGAATTACTTACCCGATGCTGAACTCCAGTGTACCAGATATCACCTTGGCTTCTTCGGACATTCTTCTATCTATATTATGGAAGACTATGGACGATTCCAGCTGCAAGTGATCATCTTCCTATCTTAATTTCGGTGAACTCATTTCATGTTGGTTCCTCTCCGGGTCGGCCTAGGTTGAACATGGATGATGTTGATTGGAATAAGTACGGTCAATGGACAAAGGTCTTTACATCTGATAATGATCTATTGAATGACAACCTCGAGGAGAGCTATAAGCGATTCTCAGAACACTTTCTTGACTCCACAGAAAAGTTCGGGGCACGACGGGCAGGCGGTAAGATGAACAATCTTACTGCCCCTCCAGCTCCGTGGTGGAATACTGAATGTCGGAGTGCTCTAGCTGAGAGGAAGGCTGGCTTTGCAAAAATAAAGTTCAACCCTTCGCCTCATAACCTAGAAGCTTACAAAAGCAAGTTAAGAAATTCCAGGAAGGTTTTTTTTAGAGTGAAGCGAACCAGTTTTAAGAATTTTTGTTCCTCCACAGCCAAATGGATTCCTCCAAAATGTGGAAAATAATCAAAGCCTTCAAATTCAGATCGTTAGTAAGCATATCTGCGGATCAAGGTGCTCACTATCCCTCGGCTCTAGATTTCATAGATAAAATTGCTCCTCCGATGATCCACATTCCTCCTCCTCTTAGCTCATTTTTTGGTCCTCCAATAGAACTATTCTCGGATATTAGCCTCGAGGAAGTAGTCTCGGCTGTAAACAACATCAAGATTAAATCTGCTGCAGGCCCGGACTTCATTAACAATAATATGATAAAACACCGACCTATAGAATCTCTTGAAATTCTCCGGGACCTCTTTGGAAGATTCTTCATGGCGGGCACTGTACCAGACGACTGGAAGAAGTTCAACATTGTTTTACTACCTAAACCTAAAGGTGATGGATTCAGGCCAATTGCTCTCTCCTCTTGCATTCTGAAGATATTTGAAAGAATTATTTTAACTAAAATTGAATGGTGGATTAAAAACAACCGGATCATCCCCAACTGCCAGTTTGGCTTCAGAAAGAACAGATCATGCTCGGACAATCTGGCCATCCTATGTTCGGACAATAGCCTCTCCTTTGTTAGAGGTGAATCACTTGGAGCGGTATTTTTAGACCTAGCTGGAGCATACGATAACGTTCTTCTTTATATACTTACTCAGGAACTAATTGACATCGGTCTCCCATCCAATATAGTGTTTTGCATTGCCTCAATCCTCACCACGCGGACTGCAGACTTCTTCCATGGATCATCCCTCATAGGTTCCAGAATAATGGAGATAAGTCTTCCCCAAGGTACTGTCCTTAGTCCTTTGTTGTTTAATATATATTTGAGGAATATAATGTTACATGTTGTTCCTCAATGTCGCGTTCTGCTATATGCAGACGACATAGTTTTATACTTCTCCCATAAGGATCCTGCATTCATCTCTTCGGTTCTTAACTTGGCACTGGAATCTTTGTCGTTATGGCTCCTCTTGGTCTGAGAAGACACTTTCTATCCTCTAGATATATTTTAAGAACCTTCTCCATTAGGGGGCATCCCATTCGTGGGAAGTTACGCTCAGTAAACATACGGTTATGGTAAATCGGTTATTTTTTTAAATTAACAACAAACAACTTTATACGAATAGTATTTTTTATTATCCGTGAAGCATCGATACAAAAAACACTTTAACAGAATGCGTCAGTTTAAACGACATGTTTATCTTTACAATTTGGTACTCGATACTGATCAAGGGATGCACAACATGGATAGGCGAGACATTTTTTGGTAGCTTCCACATTTGGAAGAATGAAGACTTCATTGGATACTTATAAATACTGATTTTTTTGCTCCAAACTTTTCCCTCAATTTTTAGAAACGGTAATGATGCATCCGCTCCGTATATCTTATCGATTTGCATAATACGACCGTTTGTTAATAAGACAACGTTATTTGGAGCTTTTGTGGTAATGCTCGTTAAATAATTCCATGTTAATCTAGAGACATTCACTTGGCCTTCTACGATAACGCTCTTATCAACTTTGAATTTTTTTCAACAATTATACGTTTCCGAATGAAAAATGCACCGTTAGTGATAGGATTAAACAACGTGCTCCCAGTGCCACTGTTAACTTTGTGGTCAATTAATTGTGAATATTATCGTGAAATAAATTGCAACAGAGATAGCCAACTCTCGCTACTTTTTCTATATTTATCCAATAATCTATTTATTACTCAATATTTAATAAAAGTGATCTGTACGATATATAATTAATAAATTATAGAATGAACAAAAACGTGCATGTTCTAAAGTAGCGAATTATGTCTATTTCTGGATTAAGCATTACCTTTAGATATACTATTATTCTAGAAATGGAATTTGCAGTTTTAAAGTAAGTATCTATTAATTGTTTAGTGAGTCGAGGAAGAAATTCCTTATGTAGGTACCAAATCGTTGACTCCGTTAACGAAACGATGTCTGATGGAAGAAAATCCATTGAGTGCATTCCAAGTTCTTGGATTTCGTTTGATCCAGTTATTGGTTCTTGCATGGCATAATTCATTCCCCCTCCATACAATGAGGAAACAATGCCATTGCTCATTGGCTTGATTAAGAAAAACGTTAAAGCGCCGGAAGATTGGCCATTATATGAATGTGCGCTGATAGGCCACGCAAGTATGATATTTTGTTTATTAACTTGTCGCAGTATAACTCTTTATAAAAATATTTATAATTATACTTGTTTTTATACAGAAACCTATTGAGACGGACTGAAAAGAGTGACAAAGCTTCAGCAGGATAATTTTGCTTATACGACAGAAAACGATGACCATGCACAAGTGAAAGCGAAGAAAGACACTGCCGCCTATAAAGCCGCGAACTCAAAGAACCTGAAGGAGATTATGAGCTTAGCTGACTTACCGCCCTCACCATTATCGACAAAGAGCAGTGACGAAAATTATTGTGAGTATTTCATTTAATTTCCTGATACTTACGACACTCATGCATATGTCTGTTTATTTAGTTCACCTTTATTTTAATAGGATTAGTTTTCTATACTGTGACGTGAATTTTTGACAATCCACGCCACAAACGACCTGCAA